TATTCCGTTTGGCGCCCCCATCCCCCCTTGGATCGGCGCCCGTGGCAGGAGCCCAATCCGCCCTTTCCTAGCTATGCCTCTGGCTTTAAGATGAGTACTATATTTAGCAATATTGGATTAAAAATACCTAGTTATCTCAGCGTCCATATCATGTAGCAATATTAAATTAATTAAAAATGCCTAGTTATCTCAACTCTTTTTTGCCTCTAAATAATCTGAACTAACTTTTTTACACTGAGTTTCAGTCTCTCTTCTTCTGAAAGTTTGCCCATTTCTGCTTTTTTAGCACTCTTGGTAGTATCAGTGTATTTTGTTTCGTTGCATCTGCCAAGTTTCTTAACACCATTTGATGCAGTTACTTTAACTTTCTCTGGAGAGACTGCAGGTTGGGGTTCAAGCTAATCGTCAGCTGTTGTTGCCAGTGAGATGTTGTCATCATTTATTACACTATCAATGCTATAATTAATTGCTATCATCTAGTCCACCGTCTAATCCTACAACTGCTGCACCCAATGTTTCTGTAAGCCACTTGACAATATGGAATGTTTTTATTTTTTTTTAAATTTAAAAAATTTGTCGCCTCAGAATGTAATTTACAGCGTCAGTTTGTCTTGCATATTCGCTTTAGTATTACAGCGTTCAACATCGGATTGTGAGGACTGCTAGAGATTACAATAGTAATACTACTTTCTTTAAAAAAAAAAGTGTATACGCATGACGAGACCAGGACAAGAGTAAATTAACACTTTGACTAAATGAGATTTTGTTTGTCTACTAATCAGTTTTTAAGTAAGCTGATATACTTTTGAATAAGCTAAAATTAAATAATAATTTTCAAAATTAAGACAATTAATGATAAAAAAAACATTATTAAAATTTAAAATATGTGTATTGTACTTAATAACAAGCAATGATATGCATTTTTTATTTAATAGTCACCGAATTTCTCTGCATTTTTAAATAACGTTTGTTATATCCCTTGGATTTGAAATTTTGTTTATGAGTGGTCTAGCGGTAGAGAGCTGGACTGCTAACCCGTAAGTCTCGAGTCCACCCAACTCTGATGGGTACCTAACTCAGGTTAGGGAGAGTAAAGGCGGCTGGGCATATTGCTGACCACACTATCTCTTCATATGCCGAGGTCACAGAAACAAGTGAACTCTACTTCATTTGCCCCATAGACCGTCAGGTTTGAAAGGGAAACTTTACTTTACTTTTAACTAACACAATAAACACGGTTAAATATCATATTTTACAGCCTACTGAATGTCTATTCAATGAGAAAATCGGAAATAATAATTAGTGGTCGCGATTATGAGAACCCATGTTCTTCTTTATAGTTTTAAAAATACGTGTACATTGTTATATTTTAAAGAAAGTCATGTGATCATCTTTTTAGAGCATATATAAAAGCTTGTTATCATAAAAGTTTAATTTTCAAAAAGAAAAGTATTTTCTTTTATAATGTATATTTAAAAGTTTGTTTTAATTAATGTTTATTTATTTTTTATTATTTAACTTTATTTAACTGTTTAACCGTTTACGTTTAATATTAGCGTAAGACTAACAAGTTTAAGATTAACACTTTTTTAAAAATTAATTAAACATCTAATGATGTGAGATTGCTGCACTATCGTCACATCTTGACTTATATTCGAAGTTTGAACCATGTTTAAGTGGTTGAGATTTTGCTTGCAAGCGACGACACATAAAGTAAAAAGATAAAAGGACGATACAGCAATCACGTTGAATAAAAGCTAAAAACGTTTAAATAACAAGCTTTTATGTTATAGTGCAATAAAAAGGTGAAAATAAATGATTTTCTTTAAATATATAATTATAAACTACTATTTAATTATTTAAAAATAAAATTACAGGTTGCTATATTATGTATTAGATACCTTTATTAGAAATGTTATAATTTTTATTGACTAGAAAAGCGTATTTGTAAGATATTTTTTAAATTACCCAAAAATTATGTCAAATTAAATTTTAAATTATTAAAAAAAATAAGCATATAGTCTGTTTGTTTTAATTACTAAAAAGCGTTGTAAAAGTTTTTAAAATAATTTAAAAAGCATGTTATATTTATTTTAATTAGGCCCTACAAAAAAATATCATGTTATAATTTATTTTTTTGAATACAGAATAAGCATGTTATTTTTTTTTTAATTTCCAAAGAAACATGTTAGAATTTGCATTTATTTACCAAAAAAGCACGTTATATATTTTTTAAATGACCAAATATGATTGTTTTAAAATAGTTATATACAAATATTTTTATAAAATATAAAAACAAAATACCAAAAAAAAACACATGTTACATTACATTACCAAAAAGAAATGTATTTTTAAATTACAAAAAAAGCGATTTTAAAAATATTTTTAAAATTACCAAACAGATGTCATTAAGAATAATAACAAAATACCCAAAATAGCATTGTATGTTGTTGTTTTTTTTTTTAAATTACCAAAAATACAAAACAATAAATAAAAAGTGTTTTTACAAATCTAAAAAAAACAATAAAGCATATTATAAAATCTATTTAAAAACTAAAATAAAAACCGGTACCAAAAAGCGTGTACTAAATTCAAACATGAAGCGCAAAAGCATCGTCGTGGAAAGGAAAACGGTGTTGTGCTGGGATGACTCCAGCACATGAACTCAGATTAATCAATCGTAAGCTCAGGTGTCTACACAGTTTCAACTCTCTGAAAACATCAAGTTACGTCAGCTGATTTTAGCTCCATTACATCATTAACATAAACACGACCGATGATTTAGCTCAGATTTTAGCTCCATTACATCATTAACATAAACACGGCCGGTGATTTAGCTCAGATTTTAGCTCCATTACATCATTAACATAAACACGACCGATGATTTAGCTCAGATTTTAGCTCCATTACATCATTAACATAAACACGGCCGGTGATTTAGCTCAGATTTTAGCTCCATTACATCATTAACATAAACACGACCGATGATTTAGCTCAGATTTTAGCTCCATTACATCATTAACATAAACACGACCGATGATTTAGCTCTGATTTTAGCTCCATTACAACATTACTTAGTAAAAAAAAACCTCTGTGTTATGAACAACGTCATTGTTCCTTTGCCGTGAGCGTGACGTCACACGCTCCTAGATTACAATCTTTATGAGGGGTGTAAACTCCGACACGCCCCCCTCCTCGACAGTCTGGTACATCTTCTTATAGTGTATGTAGGCACATGTTCAAATTTTATAAACCGTTTCTATATAAATATCTCAGTATAGATACGATACTTTACCCATGTCTACAAACACTACTATAATATTAAAGCCCTTTGCTGAAGCGTGATGAATCTTAATTCTGACCCCCAGCACTTAACACTAACAGACGGCAGAAACAGAGTTTCTTCCAGGCATCTCTTCGGGGGGGGGGGGGGGCGTAATGAAATTTATATAATTTATATAGAAAATATATACTTTTAACAGTGTCCGCCCCCCCCCCCCCCCCCCCGAAGAAAGTTTACCGCCCCCCCCCCCCCCCCCGAAGATTTCAAGTGCCCCCCCCCCCCCCCCCCCCCGGAGAAAAAAGTCTGGATGAAACACTGGGCAGAAAGTAGAAAATAAACAACTTGAGTTCGGTCTTTTTCAACCCTCTTTAAAAAAAATTAAAAAGTTATCGACCTTGGTATAGCTGCACGTAGTTTTTTTTTTTATTTATTGTCTGTGTGTGTCTGATGTTGGTGGGGGTGCTGTGTTCTCCCCCCCCCCCCCCCCTTTCAACATAACGTGAATCCGGTACAAATTTTTACTTTGTCTGGACTTACTCCCCTTTGTTCAGCCAACTTCACGCCCACACACCATTTCCTGTCTTCGCGTGATCTCATGGATTACCTCCCGTGACGAGTATTTATTAGGCAAGCGGAACTGAGTTGTCGTTCATTAGCCTTGAATCACCGCCATCGCTCGTCTATGTCAAGGGAAGGTGGTCACGGAAGTGACTCGATAGCAGGCAATTAGAATCTGGATCAATAGAATTTCACAAGACTGGCGACAGATCAAAAAATAGTTTCTCATTGCAACAGTAGCAGTCCTCTATATAGATTGTGATTATACTATATATAATATATTACAGGGTGGTTGGGAGTGGCTTATATTATGTTATATGGGGTATACATTCGCAAAACAACAATAGTATTTAAAACTGACTGAAATTGTGGTGTATATATATATATATATATATATATATATATATATATATATATATATATATATATATATATATATATATATGTTGAATTTTCTCTTCAGTTAAAAAAAACGTGTTACAAAGAAATGTAATTATTTTCATGTCCCACACTAAGCAATGTGTGATTAAGTTAAGCTTTATTTTACACGAAAAGGGAAATTTTAACATTGATAATTGCTATGGGGGAAAAGGGGAAATTTAAGCTTGATAAGTGCATAAGAGACGAGTGAAATTAAAGCGTTGATTAGTGCGTTAGGACAAGTGAGAAATTAGAAAAGTGCGTCCAGTTTTTACTCTTAAATTAGAACTTTCAATGCAATGAACTAAAACAACTGTTTTGAATAAATAATAATAGTTTCAACCAGACCTTCCTGTTTCTGAAGACATATTTAAGTGTACCAATGGTGGATTGCTTTGTAGAGTGGGTCAATTCGTTTCTTTCTGTGGGGGGTAGGGCTATCAGTTCCTATCAGTGGCACCGAGGTCAGCAAGAAATCTTGATACATTATCAGGAGAGTGGGGGGGTCTTGTAAACCTACCCAACAGTGAACTGCCCTGAACCTACTAAACTTAGGTTCCATGGTGGTGTGTGTTGTAAACCTACTTAACCTAGTGAACTGCCCTGAACCTACTAAACTTAGGCTATATAGTGGTGGGTGTTGTAAACTGATCAAACGTAGGTTACTATCATTTTGCCCAGATCACTACCTACAGCACTTTAAATAAGCTCATTAGTGTTTTTATTTCTTGTTCCGCAGATAACTCACACCCTGTACAGACCTCTGGAGTTACGGGACTTGCTCGCACAGACTTTATTCAACACCTAGAGCTACTGGACGAGTGAGTAGAATAGCTTTGCGCGTGCATCTGTCGGGGGCGGGGGGAAATGGGGGGGGGGCGGAAGTGATAGCCGTAGGCAACCATTACCAGAAATCAGCGGTTGTTACCCCCTCCCCTTGTCGCTGTAGCTAGTTACCTCCCCTTGTGAGTTGAATGTGGATAAAACGGAGTAGGATAATCGGCGATTGCCTCAATGCAGAATGGTTAGCCAGAGTACATGCCACTTTAGCTTAGGGTTTAGGTATAGTCAGCCATAGGATTTCGTTTAGATTTATTTTAGTTCTAAATTTTATTGTTATAAAATACCTGTGTTTACTAGTGAGGTGTATAAAAAGTACAGTAACACGTACATATATATATATATATATATATATATATATATATATATATATATATATATATATATATATATATATATATATATATATATATATATAACGTATGTCTCTAAGTTGAAAAGATGAAGAATCCACTTCCTGTGGCGGCCATTGGTATCGTCTTACTTCAGCTGACTTGGACAGGGTTCGTCAGGGGCATGAACCCCGCCTGTGGTTCGAACCGCTATACCGGAGAAAAGTGGTTCGACGGCTGCCGATGGTGTGTCTGCTACCCCAATGGACCAGTATGCTCCACAGAAAAGTGTTCGAGTCTCGTCGCGTTGTTACCTCCCTGCTCGGTTCTGGGATCTAGGTCAGTGCAATCTATTTTTAGCTATAATGTTAACAGATTTTTTTTTTCAGTTTCGCCAATTAAAATCTAAGTTAATTATTTTATATTAAGTTAAGTTACGAGTGTCTGCGCATGTCAGGAAGTGGTTAAAACCGGGCAGACGTGGTGCACGGACTGGCTTGACCTCCCCCCCTACCACGCCCCTATCCAGGTGTTCTCATCTGTTGCAGCATCAGGCTGACTCATGATAGTGTTGTTCTTCGTTCTGTAATCCGTGTTTTTGTTTACCTTTTATTTAAATTATTTCAGCGTTACTTTGTTTCGCTTGTTTGCGCTTGTTACTTTTTATTGTACTAAGCGTTAATAAAATTTCAAATAGGTAAAATATGCGGTTTTTAATATGAAGGTACCGCCACAAGATTATGCTGAGAGAAATCAGACTGGTATATTTAAATGTTTAAATTATTGTGTACAATCCACTAGTCCTGTTTCATTTTTCTTTTCTTTTCGTGATAAAACCTATAGATAGAAGATTTTTATACAATCTCTACTGGATTCTCACAGCACTTTCCAATAAGACATGAGTTACAAAGTGCTGGAATCGATTGAAAATAAATAATAAACAAAGCATTACTTAAGTTCAAACCTTAACCGTATCTAGCCATAGGTTTAAGTTCAGCTTAAATCGTAGTTTGTTTTCTATCCATCAAATTAACAAATTTTAAATTTTATATCGTTACTCCTATAAATACATAAAATGTTATTTTTAAGAAATACCAGCGTTTGTTTACCTGCTTACGATGGTGAACTTTTTTTAAAAAATGGAATATGATTAATGCCCTGTAGACAGTTGTGGATTTATGTGGAATAACTCGATAAAAGCAGGGAGGTAATCCATTTAAATGGAACTTGCCATCTTCCTTTCACATTTACCTACCCTGAGACGAACGTGTCAGAGCACTTGAAATGTGAGAGGAGTAAGAATGGAAACAAGATACCACGGGTGGACTAGTCTGTTTGGTGATATGTTACATTTGAGTTTGTGGTTATTTTGGATGTTTTTAAAAGAACGTTTGGCTAGTTAATACAATGTGTGTGGTGTAGGGCGTACTGATGTGTGTGGTGTAGGGCGTACTTAGGAGTGTTGCGTAATGCGTACCTTTGTAAAAGATTTGTTTTGGTCGTAGATTTTCGTTTTATACTGGTTACTTCCCTTGTATGTTGTGAGGGCATATATCTCTTAGTTGTCTCCCTTCTGTTAATGTTTTAAGGGTGCAGTTTTTAAACCATTTATTTTCTGTCTATAATCCTTCGCTATTTGTTTTGGTATTAGCAGATAAGATATAGTTGTTTTCCTGTTTACTGTATTATCTTGTGTTATACCCCTGGTACTGTCCTAGCATAAAATCGAGTTATTTTACTTATATTGTGTTTACACGGAACCTTAGTTGCAACAATCCTACATGTGAATGCAACTGCCCAATATATTTCAAATAATATACTTTGGGAATTTTTTCCACGGGTAGATCTTTATATTGGTAAAGTTAACACATTTTTATACTGATACCTAGTTTAAAAATGTATTATTTAGGAGCAGGACTGATGTTCCATAGACTGAGACAATGTGTATTATTTAGGAGCAGGATTGATACCCCATAGACTGAGACAATGTATATTATATAGGAGCAGGATTGATGTTCCATAGACTGAGACAATGTGTATTATTTAGGCACAGGATTGATGTTCCATAGACTGAGACACTATGTGTATTATTTAGAAGCAGGATTTATGTTCCATAGACTGAATGTGTGTATTATTTAGGAGCAGGATTGATGTTCCATAGACTGAGACACTATGTGTATTGTTTAGGAGCAGGATTGATGTTCCATAGACTGAATGTGTGTATTATTTAGGAGCAGGATTGATGTTCTATAGACTGAGACAATGTGTGTATTATTTAGGAGCAGGATTGATGTTCCATAGACTGTGACAATGTGTGTATTATTTAGGAGCAGGATTGATGTTCTATAGACTGAGACAGTGTGTATTGTTTAGGAGCAGGATTGATGTTCCATAGACTGAGACAATGTGTGTATTATTTAGGAGCAGGATTGATGCCCCATAGACTGAGACAATGTGTGAATATTTCCACAGGTGGAGAGACGGCTCGTACTATTGCACGTGCAGCAAGAGCGGCATCACGTGTGAGCCGAACAAAGATTTGGTCCATCACCTGTGGCACGAGGTCCCGGGGTGGGAGGACCAGTCCCAGAGCACCTGCACCAGCATCAACGACCGTCGCTGTGTCTGCGACATCGACGGCGTTCAGCTCTGCAGCGCCGAAGCCAGAGATGAAAACGCCAACAGGAAGACCAAGATCAAGATACGACCGGGCCACCACGATCCTTCCCTGGCAAAGCCCTACAACCAGGCGAAACGAATTCATAAGCGTGACGTTGATTGGTTGGTTAAGTCGGGACGTCATGATTACTTGCCGACCAATCAAATAGATGTAGAAGTTAGTCCACCCAATTCATTTGTAAAAACTCACAAGAATAAAGGTAAAGGTCGTCAACACCATAATAAAGGTGAAGGTCGTCATCACAAGAATAAAGGTGAAGGTCGTCCTCACAAGAATAAAGGTGAAGGTCGTTCTCACAAGAATAAAGGTGACGGTCTTCGGGAGTTGGATAGTTATAGACATAACAGTCAAAGTTTGGATAACTTACTAGGGGAGTTAGTCGGAGCTATCACGGGCAACAGTAGACAGAAGCACGGAGAATATCATGACAGCAGACAGTTCTATGACAGCAGACAGTTCGATGACAGCAGCCTGCTTGATGACAGCAGCCAGCTTGATGTCAGCAGACTACTCGAAGAAGATTCATTTGCAGACTATCGTTATGAACAAACGCCAATCCATCCAGATAAGTTAGAAGACAATCAGTTGGTAAAGAACCACAAGCCAAAAGGTAAAGATAGACCACACCACAGGACAACTGATGAGAGCAACACCCTGAACGACTTGTTTGGAGATGATCTGTATCAACCTTCGCATTATTTCAATGACAATAGACTGCCACAAGATCACGGAGAAAACAGTGAGGGGACGAGACATCAAGGATTATACGGGGACAATCCTTTCCAACCAATGCCAAGACTCCAAAATAATGTACCCGCAAATCAAAGAGAAACATATCTTAATTCAGCTAGGCACTTTAAAAAAACTCATAAACATAAAGTCAATTATCTAGGACACAAATTTGATAGTTTTAGAGAAGACAGTCAACAGTTAAATAACGAGTTGGGTCAGATCGTTAGGGCATTGTTTACTGGTGATAGGAACATAAAACATGATGGGAGAAAAGGGACGAAAGATCAACAGAGAGATGAGCCACATATAGACCCAAACAAGAGATCTGACGAAGACATGATACCGCATCATGTTTTCGACCCCAGTATGCTGAAGCAGTGGTTGACTAACGGGGTACAAGGAGATCAACCCTTTCAACCTACGCGGGTTGAGCATCCGAAGCCTGTACGGGTATCTCACAATCGCTGCAAGTACGTCTGCTAAATTGCAATCCTAATTAGTAGTGTACACATAATCCTTCAGTACATTGCTGCTATTAATTTGTTTAGGTAGTGTACACGCATATAATCGAAACTGTTGTAGAACACTCGATTAAAAGTTAAAAGTTCCCCTTTCAAACCTGACGGTCTATAGGGCAAGTGAAGTAGAGTTCACTTGTTTCTGTGACCTCGGCATATGAAGAGGTCAGCACTATGCCCAGCCGCCTTTACTTTCCCTAGCATGAGTTAGGTACCCATCAGAGTTAGGTGGACTCAGGGACGTTCTACTGAATTGAACCCGGATTTGAACTCTTGACTTACGGGTTAGCAGTCCAGCTCTCTACCGCTAGACCACACCGTCCCACAGAACACGAGATTACTTATCCATAAATCTGGAGTTCGGTTCTAGTCTTGTGTTTGCATGATTTCAGTGAGCGAACTCAGTTTTAATGAGTACCTCAACTGAGCAGTAAGCTGAACATGATGCTGGCGACACACGCCCTACTTACTACATTCCCTCTAGATTAATATCTCTGTGTTAGTTCTACGGCAGTGGGGGGGGGGGGGGGGAAGAGGGGGGGAGTCATGTACATGTATGCAAGTTGCTGACTTGCCTTTTACCCATATGGTAGCTGACCATGTATCTGCCCATTTGCTATCGGCCCATTTATTTTAAGCCCATCTGTTATCAGCAAGTTTATCACGCGCGCCATTGTTTCTTCTATCACGTGATCAGGTTGGCTGACCGATGGTATACCGGAAGTCTCCGCTGTCGGTGTCTCGATGCTGGGTCCACGGTGACCTGTGGGGAGCCAAGCTCTGTCAACGCCATCAACGACAGTTTCATCAGGCTGGTCAACTGGGAGTGTCGAAAAGGTAAGCCCGGTGACCCTAACAAGCAGTGTTTATTCCAGACTTTTTTCTCCGGGGGCACTTGAAATTTTCAGGTGGGGGGGGGGCGGACACTGTTAAAAGTATATATTTTCTATATAAATTTCAATTCGTTCGGGGAGGGGGGCGGTAGACTTTCTTCGGGGGTGTTTAATTTAATACAACAAATACAAATTGTACTTGTTTACTCTAAAGATTAATTTAGAAAACATGGAGAAAACATGACTCCTCCATATAGAAAGTTGTACGTTTAAAAAGTACCTGCTTCTTCTCTTTCAACAGGATCTAAGTTTGAACTCTTAGACTATTGTCTCGTCTGCCTTTGTCAGTTTAGTGGCTTTCCTCTGTGTTCAAGATCAGGTGAGGGAAGTTGTTCAGCCACCCCTCCCATCCAACACCTTTGGAATTTCGTGGATGAAAACGTCGACAGCACCGGAGAATTCGTAGACCGGCCTGACAGTTTCATTAAAAGGGAGATAAACACCTCATCCAAAACAAAACAAGGGGCGACTAACTCTAAATCCAACTCATCGTCTCAGAGCTCAGAAAATGCCGAAAAGCGTTCGGGGGTCACGGAAACACACGACACGACCCGATCCCCGGGTAGCCTGACAACTTCCGCTCGACTGCCGCGAAGGTTGAACTTCCGGCCAAGATATACGGTACGCCCTACGGTACGGGTAAATACTACATCGTCAAATAGAAGCAGCACCATCACTCGACATGTGGTAACGACTACAGCACCGGTACCCACGACAACGCCCTCCGTAAGATCCACCCCCAGAACCACAACGTTCCAGTACATGATCCCCTACACGGTCGTATGGGGGCACCGGACGGGGCCTATCGTATACAGGCCCCCACCCGGGGTCGCGGACTGCGGGGACCATGCTGTTGGAGAAATTTACGCGGAGGGTTGTAACAGTTGCCAGTGTACAAATGCGGGTCCCAGGTGTACAGCGAAAAACTGCCCAAGTTCTGGAGAAAGCCCGCCAGTCATTGGATAATTTTCTCAACCAGGCCTTAGCTCAGCTGAACACTTGACTGATTGTTGATATGAAACATTGTATTTTAATGTAAGCAAAGAATTCCATGTTTGTGTGTATATTTATTTTTTAACTTTGTTTGATTGTTGTTATACCAGCAATAAAATTGATTGATTTGAGATGCCCGTTCGCTTTATTGTTGGCTTTTATTTAGTTTACAAGGAATGTTTGTTTGCTTGTGTGTTTGTTTGCTTGTGTGTTTGTTTGCTTGTGTGTTTGTTTGCTTGTGTGTTTGTTTGCTTGTGTGTTTGTTTGCTTGTGTGTTTGTTTGCTTGTGTGTTTGTGTGCAAAACTGGATTTGGAAACACTGGTCCTTACCAAATAAACCGGGAGTGATCTCCCCTAAACTTTCTCGAATATTCTTATATAAAATAACAGGGGATGGGAACTCGGGCTATAGACATGATTTTTAATCCATTTTAAATACTTAAAGTTTTAAAAATAGAATAAAATCTCGTAGACAAATTAATTGCACACCAAGTGAACGCCAAATAAAAAAGCGCATAATAGTGCGCAATATTATTATTACTTTTAAAATTTACATTAGTTTTTTGCGAAATCGGAAGTAGCGTAAAGTACTACTTCCAGTCAACGGAAATGACTCAAAATTTAATAGAAGGTAGAGAATTAGATCTTTTACTTACGTATGAAATTTCATTTATCTATCTGAAATAGTACTCAAGTTATAGGCTTTTGAAAAATTCAAAGTAGGAAAAGTACCACTTCCGGTTATCGGAAATCGCTCAAAAGTTGATACGGATCTACGATTTTGATTAAATACTTATATATGAAATTTCATCAACCTAGCTGTAACGGTACTCAAGTTATCGTGTTTACACACGGACAGACAGACAGACAGACACACACACACACAGACACACAGACATACGGACAAGATTGCAAACTTATGTTTTTCCGTATCAGTGAGGTGTGAAACGTCGAGATTTGTAAAAATCTCGATTTTTTTTTTTGCACGATTACAAGACTTTCTCTATACTTCGTATATACGAGAAAGTAAAAAGGGTTTATTCTAAAAATAAACCGGGAGTGATCTCCCCTAAACTTTCTCGAATATTCTTATATAAAATAACAGGGGATGGGAACTCGGGCTATAGACATGATTTTTAATCCATTTTAAATACTTAAAGTTTTAAAAATAGAATAAAATCTCGTAGACAAATTAATTGCACACCAAGTGAACGCCAAATAAAAAAGCGCATAATGGTGCGCAATATTATTATTACTTTTAAAATTTACATTAGTTTTTTGAGAAATCGGAAGTAGCGTAAAGTACTACTTCCAGTCAACGGAAATGACTCAAAATTTGATAGAAGGTATAGAATTAGATCTTTTACTTACATATGAAATTTCATTTATATATCTGAAATAGTACTCAAGTTATAGGCTTTTGAAAAATTCAAAGTAGGAAAAGTACCACTTCCGGTTATCGGAAATCGCTCAAAAGTTGATACGGATCTACGATTTTGATAAAATACTTATATATGAAATTTCATCAACCTAGCTGTAACGGTTCTCAAGTTATCGTGTTTACACACGGACAGACAGACACACAGACACACAGACACACAGACAGACACACAGACATACGGACAAGATTGCAAAATTATGTTTTTCCGTATCAGTGAGGTGTGAAACGTCGAGATTTGTAAAAATCTCGATTTTTTTTTTTTGCACGATTACAAGACTTTCTCTATACTTCGTATATACGAGAAAGTAAAAAATCGAAAGATGGCAGTATTTTACATAATATTTTATTGTATATTGTTTTATATAGCGAATATATTGCCAATGGTTTTAAAATGCACATAGTGGTCTTTGAGTAAATCTTCTTCTTCCTTCTTAATTTTAGTGTTTGAAGGGATCACTCTCCAACACAATTGAGTATACGTGTCAACTGGTTATGCGCCATTGAGGCCATTGACTCCGATTTCAGCCTGCTTTCTTTTTGGATTTGCTTCCATAGCCTTTGTTCAACCAAGAACAAACTACAAGGCAGCAGTTGTTTGATTTTGGAGTTGTCTCTCCAGCTAACGAGCCTCATCTGTCCGAGAGTTCGAACTCGAGACTTTTCGTTTTAGCAACCATGAGTTTTACCGACTCGACCACGCCAACCCCTAATTGAGTAAATGTGAATATAAGTTTTAAAACACAGAAATCAAAAAAATGTACAGTCAAATTGTAGGTCACAGTAACATTAATGTAAACAAAGTGTCGCTAAATCTTACCTCCTTTAAAAAAAATTCCCAGCTCATAATACACAATGGACATATTCTTCATGTGTCTTTGCGGTATTTGGTTAGTATACGTTGCGTTTATTTTCGCAGATTTGATCGAATTATCAATTAGTTTGTACTTTATTACAAGCATTATTGTCAGTAAATACATTCTTTATCAGCTACTTTGTTCGTGTAGATAAATAAGAAGAGTACAGACTTTTAAAAATTGGAGTTGTAACAAGATGGTGTTTTAAATAATTATAGAAACATGGTAATTAAAATGATTTCGATTGTGATATCATTAGAATCTAGATCTAATTAGTTGTGGGATCTCGTTAGTTTTGTCCTCGGATAGAATCGTTTGGGGGGGGGGGGGGGGGGGGGTATGGGGGAGGGGAGGGGTACGACACAATTGTGATAGTCTCAGGTTACGTGTGGTGTTGGATGTGGTGTTGGATGTGCTGTTGGATGTGCTGTTGGATGTGCTGTTGGATGTGCTGTTGAAAGTGCTGTTCAATATGGTGTTGGATGTGGTTTTGGTTGTGGTGTTGGATGTGGTTTTGGATGTGGTGTTGGATGTGGTGTTTAATGGGGTGTTCAAAATAGTGTTGAATGGTGTGTGGGATGTGGAGTTGGATGTGGTGTTAAATGTAGTGTTCAATATAGTTTTGAATCTAAAACATTTTTTAAAAGGTCAAAAACTCATGTTGTGTGATCTAGAAGCCATGTTCTCTGTTGTGTGATCTAGAAGCCGTGCTGTACCAGATAGTCTCCGATGTTCTCTATGGTGTTGAAGCAGAGGCTGGTTTGTGGGCCGTCGTGGTGCAGGGCCACCAAGACACAAGTCCGACACAAATAGATGACGCAACCTGAGCCGTCCACGGAGGACCGGCCCACCATCATCACACGGTTCATGCCCATCCGCGTCAGGGTGTAAGCCTCGTTCTGGATCTTAATGCCGTGGAGGCGGAGCTTAATGTCGTCATCGAAACCGGAAATGATAGCTTGGATCTCCGACGGCTCCAAGCGGAAATCTCGCGTGGCTGTCCACTCGCGGAATTTATCGCGAGAGTACACGGCAAAACGAGAAACGATGCCTTTCTCGAGGAGGGCGTGGGAGTAGGCGTCCCATCGCGCGGCGGGTGTGGAGAGGGTGCGGCTGCTTGCAGACTTGAGACCCTCGGTTTGGTAAACGGACGAGTAGGAAGCGGTCAGCAGGCTTGGTCTGGTCAATGTGGAGAAGAAATCAGTGGCCGAACTTTTGCCGGCCCGAGACATTTTTCTCTAGTCTTTAAAGAGATTTATCCAGTGATGAACCTAGATTCATTTTCCGACTTAATGGCACAGAATGTCGAGACGAACATGGAAAATACTTTGGTATAATCATCAATCCACTGTTTGGCTTGGCTGCAATAAAGCGCGCTGCAACAAGAAGCAAATAAAATATAAGAAGTTTTAACAGATCTATGAGTCTACTAAAACATTGCTACATTTTGTATTTGAAAACACCTCGATAAGTTCACAAAAACTATGTTCGTTTCAATAGGTTTGAGGTAGGGTCATGTTTTATGCTATAACGCAAGGTGTGGTTGAGCAAGAAAGAATCAAAACGATTTTCGTTCCAGTATCTGAATTTTGAAAAATACAATTTTTTATAAACATGTAGGATATAATATTGACCTACTTTAACCAGTGTCTACACCCCCCCCCCCCCCCCATAACCATCCGTCCCACCCCAATCCCCCTCCACACGTGTTTACGCTAAATTAACTTTAATTATGTTTGTCAACTAAACTAAGTCGTAGACTTGTGTTTTGTAAGCACTTAATGCTCTTACCGCAACTAAACTAAGTCGTAGACTTGTGTTTTGTAAGCACTTAATGCTATTATCGCGAGTCACAGTACACTAGACTTACACAAACGGCGTGTTTGTAGCAGTTGAACGGTTGACCTATTTAAATTGTGCTTAACACACCAGAGGTGCTGGTCCGTGTCTCCCCTCCCCCCACCACCACCCACCCTCTCACACACTCGCGCACACACACACACATATTCGGCGGAATAATCAACTAATAAATATTTCGACAATACGATTTTAATTCTTTATTCGAAACAAAGTTCAATATTATTATTGATTTCCGCCGTGACCGGTAATTTGAAACATGTAAGCGCCACTCTACAGGGAGCCACTGACGGTGTTTTTGTAAATCAACATCAAGTTACCTAACAGACCCAGAACAATCGAACTATCATAACAGTTATAAGGTTCAGATTGGCGCAACCATATCGGAAGGAAATTATTGCAATCAGGTCGATTTTGTTTTTTTTTAAATTTAAATAATTGGATGCTGTTTAAGATTTAGAACTTATCGCCATTTGGCAAACCTACCACGTTTTGACCACTTCTTGGTCTTATTTCTTTCACATCTAGTTCATATCTCGCTCTTTTCTTGTTAATATTTCTTGCATATCTCGTCCCTATTTTCGCTATTATCTAGTTTATATCTCGCTCTTTCTAGTTTATATTTCTTGTATATTTCGTCAATTTTTCGCTATTATCTTGTTCATATCTTGCTCTTTCTAGTTTATATTTCTTGCATCTTTCGTCCATATCTGTTCGTTGCATATATGTTCGCTATTGTCTTGTACATATCTCGTTCATACCTCCCCCACCCTCTTGTCCAGAGTTTCTTTCAGGCATCTCTTCGGGGGGGCTTCGCCCCCCCGAAAATTTTTTACCGCCCCCCCGAACGAAATGAAATTTATATAATTTATATAGAAAATATATACTTTTAACAGTGTCCGCCCCCCCGAAGAAAGTTTACCGCCCCCCCGAAGATTTCTAGTGCCCCCCCGGAGAAAAAAGTCTGGAAGAAACACTGCTCTTGTCCCCACCCATCCCATCCCAGATCTTCTAATGCGATAATTGTTTCAAACTGAAGATTATAAAACCAGACGCTAGAGAGAAAAAACACAATAAATATTATAGAAAGCGATTATAAAGCAAATGGTTTCTTCGATAAAATACATACGCGATCAAAATCAACGGTACTCACTGGATCAACGTGTATTTAAATATTGTTGCTTTTTTATGTAAAACTAAACGGAATATTTTCAAGTGTTTTTTTTTATCTGGACATCTTTTACCGAAAAAACTTCTAACCATTTTTGTTGCTTTACAATGTGTCCCTCTGTGGCACGTAATTAGCAAACAAAAAATATTAATTATGTTTTTAACTCGAGGTATTTTTGTAACAAATGTTTTTCTCGCTGGTGTGTAATTATAGTAATTAAAACACCACGGGACTAATTAGTTAGGTAATCTGATACACCCCAGGGCAACGATATAATTATGTCGCGCGAAATATTAAAACACTGATATATGATACAGGCACGTCATCACGTCAGGCTCAAGAAGAATCGGATTGGTGAATTGTCACGTTCGTGACTAGTGAGGAATTTTTCAATCACAGGTAGATCACGTGACTGGTGATGTTTGAGTCGTGGGCAAATGCAGCAGGAGTTTAACATGTGGGGTTTAACGTGTGAGGTTTAACCTGTGAGGGTTAACATGTGGGGGTTTAACGTCTGGGGGTTTAACGTGTGAGGTTTAACGTGTGGGGGTTTAACGTGTGAGGTTTAGCGTGTGGGGGTTTAACATGTGTCACTAGAGCCCTAGTACTAACATTAGATCACCTGTAATCAGAGCCCTGGTACTGACATTAGAACACCTGTAATCAGAGCCCTAGAGCCCTAGTACTGACATTAGAACACCTGTAATCAGAGCCCTAGTGCTGACATTAGAACACCTGTAATCAGAGCCCTAGTACTGACATTAGAACACCTGTAATCAGAGCCCTAGTACTGACATTAGAACACCTGTAATCAGAGCCCTAGTACTGATATAAAACACCTGTAATCAGAGCCCTAGAGCCCTAGTACTGACATTAGAACACCTGTAATCAGAGCCCTAGTACTGACATTAAAACACCTGTAATCAGAGACCTAGAGCCCTAGTACTGACATTAAAACACCTGTAATCAGAGCCCCAGAGCCCTAGTACTGATATTAAAACACCTGTAATCAGAGCCCTAGTACCCTAGTACTGACATTAGAACTGTAATCAGAGCACTAGTACTGACATTAGAACACCTGTAATCAGAGCCCTAGTACTGACTAGACCTTTAAACACGCCCAATCTCAAATAAATAATTGATTTACGCTCTTTATAAGGTCAAAGTTGATTCCTTACTTCTCGATTTATTACGTCAATCTAAAACTTATCTAAGATAAGTCAACAGTTGCCCTTGTGGTAGGGCTTTAGTAAATCTGACGTTCGACAAGAGCTAGATTGGGGGAGGAGGGCAGGGGGCAGGGGCTGCGATATGAAAACCTATAAATATAAAATTAGCTACATATAGGGGTTAAAGTAAGAAGTGGGCAGTAAAAAGTAAAAATACAAGTGGAAAAAGAAAGGGTTAAATGTTCTTATAATATATAAACATTTTTTAAATTTAAGACTTCACAAGGGTATGAAAACTGTCTATTAGCAGTTGAATGTTGTCATGTTTGATAGGCTAATCGTGCTTGTATAATTAGAGTAAAGCAATCCTATGCTAGGCGCATCATATAGGCACACGATAGGGTTGGTTGAATCAGAGGGAGGACGAACAGCGAGTAGCATCTTGACAAAACAGAGAAGGTGAGGGGTAAATATATATATATATATATATATATATATATATATATATATATATATATATATATATATATATATATATATATATATATATATATATATATATATATATATATCTAATATATAAAGCTCAGTTCTGTAACGTGTGGCAAAAAAAAAAAGTTTGTCGTTGACAGTTCTACGGATTTAAGTGTTAGATTTTTTATCGTGCTCAAAGTCTAAATTTACGAGTCGAAAAATTACCATTGAAAGTCTTTAAAAACAATTTTCATTCTATTTACTTAGAAGAATAATTTTCAATTATGAACACGACATAAAATTTTTAAAAAGTGTATCGACGTTTATAAAATTTCTAAAATTGTGTCGGAAATGTATTGACTGCAAAGTTACTTCCCTTTAATGAAAAATAAATCCTTAAGAAGAGAGAATTAACATTTTATTACTTTGTTTTTGGTGTTAAGAAAAAAAAAATAATTACACAATTAGCGGGGATTGATTAAGTGCAATGTCGTTAGGTATTTTTAACACTGCCTTTTATTTATTCTATACACTGAACATACTGTTCAATAATTCTTATTTTTTTTTTTAAATCAATAACATTTAATAAGCCAGGTCCTACAAATCATATACGTTTATTTCTTTCCATTTACGGATAAGCTTGGAGTATTATCATTTTTGTTCACTAAATTGAAACAGGCGCGTCCGCCGGGGCCCCTGCACGGTTTGATTTGGCACCCTGGGCTATCATGTGAGCGCTATGCTGCATAATTTTGTTTTAAACAGTGCGATAGACTATGGATAAGAAAGGTTACTATAGTCTTTAAGTGAATCAAATCCGGGCGTCCTCCGGCACCCCGACAGGGTGCTATTTGGCGCCCCGGGCTTTCCGGTGTACGCTATGGTATCTACGTTCGCGTGAGTTCAAAAGACTATAAATAAGTTATGCACTATAGGCGTTTACTAAGTTCAATCAGGCGGTGACGTCATGGTGCGTCCTCTGGCGCCCAGACAGGGTGCTTTTTGGGGTCCCGGGCCTCCCGTGTTCGGTTTCGCGCCTACGTTCATTAAAGTGAGTGCAAAAGACTATGAATAAGTTGGGGTACTATAGTCGTTTATTAAGTTGAAGTAGGCGATTCAGCCCCGTGAGCACTTTGCGTTTATATTCGCGTTAGTGTTTTCTTTGTGTTTAGGTTGGGTTTGCGTTAGTGGTTGCGTTTTGATTTGGTTCGTTTTTGTTCTTTCTTTTTTCGTTTTCGTTTGTGTTTTATTTTCATTGGGTTTGTGTTTGTATTTGTGTTTGAGGTTGGTTTTGCGTTTGGATTTGGTTTTTTTCGTTTGTTTTTTCTTTTGTGTTTTTTTTCTTTGGGTTTGTGGTTGGTTTTGCGTTTGTATTTGGTTTGTTTTCGTTTGCTTTTTCGTTTGTTTTTTTCTTTGGGTTTGTGTTTGTGGTTGGTTTTGTGTTTGGATTTGGTTTGTTTTCGTTTGCTTTTTTCTTTGTGTTCGTATTGGTGTTTGTGGTTGTGGTTGGTTTGTTGTAAGTTTTTGTTTTCGTTTGTAT